GAAAGGTCATCTTGCGTTTTAGAACCCAATCCGGTGTTTCGAGGCCTTCAAAATCTTATTTTATTTCTACTGGATTTGCGTGCGCAGTCCGGATGCATTTCTGAAAATCCTTTATGTGGAAATTTGAGAAAATAATAAGTTTTGCCTTTAAAAGTTAATTTTAGTTGACTTCGGTCAACATTTTGAGAAAACAGACCCGGGCCCGTATTTTGACGGTCTCGGAGGGTCCGTAGTAAAATATGGGACCTGGGCGTATGCCCAAAATCGGATTTGGAGGTCCCTAGCCCGAGTAATGAATTTTTGTTAAAAATTATAAGTCTGAAAAACTAATGATTTAAAGAAAGTGATTAATGTTTGATCTCATTGGTATCGGGCCCGTATTTTGGTTCCGGAGCCCGGCACAGATTTAATATAATATTTATGTCATGTCTGTGAAATTTGGTGACAAACGGAGTTGATTTGACGTGATTCGAGCGTCCGGATGTGAAAATAGGAATTTCAAAGTGTTCTTAAGAATTTCATGTGTTTTGGTGTTAAATTCGTAGTTCTAGGTGTTAAATTGGTGATTTGATCGCGCGAGCAAGTTCGTATGATGATTTAAGACTTTCGTGCATGTTTGGTTTGGAGCCCCCAAGGGCTCGGGTGAGTTTCAGATAGGCTAGGGGGTGTTTTGGAACTTAGGAAATTTGCTGGTATGATTGAACTTGTTGTAGGCCTCTGATCTCGCAATTGCGAGATCAGGTATCACAATTGCGAACCCTGCAGGTTTCGCATTGGCGAGTCTTTCATCGCAATTGCGATAAGAAGCTGGGCCATGCAGTCTTCGCAATTGCGAAGATTTTTTCGCATTTGCAAAGTAAAACTTGGAGGGGCAGAGATCGCAAATGCGATCATTTTGTCGCATTTGCGGAGGTTCTTGTTCGCAATTGCGAACTTACCTTCGCAATTGCGAAGGCATCAGAGGTGTGGAGGACTTCGCATTTGCGATGCTTCTTCGCATTTGTAATCGCGAAGCTCAAGTCGCAAATGCGACATCTGCAGCTGTGTAAAAAGGACTTAGACGGTCGGATTCCAAAATCAATTGTATATCCGGGCTCGGGGGTGAATGGGTAATCAGGTTTTGGTCCGAATTTCGGATTCGAATCAAGCGGGCCCGGGTGTTAACTTTTTCAAAAATGGCCTAAATTCAATTCCTTGCTATCATGGGTAGTTCCTAAGGCTTAAATTGAATTGTTTGGTTGATAATTTGCTAGATTTTATTGGTCCGGAGGCTTGTATGAAGGGAAAAGTGGTGATTGAACCTTGATTTTGGCCGGAGGAGTGAGGTAAGTGTTGTGGCTAACCTTAGCTTGAGGGAGTAGGTGTTATTTGCTTCTTTGTTACGTGTTTGGATGTTAAGTACGATGTATAGGTAAGGTGACGAGTATCTATACGTTGTTGTCGAGTCATAACATGTGAGGGAGCTTTATTCCTAGAAGTGTTATATTTTGATCATATTGTTCATGTGTAGACTAGTTAATCGATGTGTTGAGAAGTTTTTTATCATGTTTTACGGAATATGGTATTGATGGGGTTTTTACCCAAAGTTGAGATTGGTATTGTGGAATTAAGTGTTGAAGTAAGACTTGTTGTTGCCATTTCTACTTCTCTATTATTGTTGTACCTTGTTTTGGCGAGGTAGAGTGATAAAGCACGAAAGGTGATGCCGTGCACGTTTATATTATTAATATGGTAAGGAAGAGTGATAAAGCACGAAGGGTGATGCCGTGCACGTTTCTAATATTTATATGGTGAGGAAGAGTGATAAAGCACGAAGGGTGATGTCGTGCACATTTCTATTATTGATTATCTAGTGAGGTTGAGAGTAAAAGCACGAAGGGTGATGCCGTGCATTTTTCCGTTTGCTGTGTTACTTGTTATTATCGGTTCAAAGTGTACTAGCAGTTTAAATTCCTCTATTGCTGTGATTCTTTATTTTGATACCCCTTAGCATGTTTCCCCTCCCACTAATATCTGCTTATCTTCTGTTAATTGTTATTTTTGTTAGCATATTGTTTAACTGCATAGATTTATGTATGTGTCTTGTCCTAGCCTCGTCACTACTTCGCCGAGGTTAAGCTCAGCACTTATCAGTACATAGGGCCGGTTGTACTGATACTACACTCTGCACTTTCTGTGCAGATTTCGGTACCGGACCGTGCTGACCCGATTTGAGCTGCTGCCTTCAGTCCAACAGGAGACCCAAGGTAGATCTGCCGGCGTTCGCAGACTCTGGAGTCCCCTTCCAGTTATCCTAGTTTTCTGTTTTCATTTAAATTCGAGAACAGTTATATTTTCTTTCAGCCAGTATTTGTAGTGACTCTTAGAAGTTCGTGGATTGTGACATCAGATTTTGGGTAGACGTGTATGAGTACTAGGATTATTATGAAATTCCGCATTCCTTTAATCTGTTTAGTTTAATTGCTGTTATTTACTGAATTGGATAGTGGTTAGCGTATTGAATCTTTATCTCCTGGTTTGCCTAGCATTCTGAAAAGTTAGGCGCCATCACGATCCCGACGGTGGGAAATCCGGGTCGTGGCAGTATCAAACTTGTGTCATGTTATAGAGCTACGTACTTAGAGCTATTTACTCATTTCCCTTTTTTAATTTCTCTTTCCTTGATTCTTTGTAGGCCTTAACATCGATCCTATCCCAACATAGCCTAATTTATTATCGAGCGAGTCAGCTTTTATAATACCAAGTTGAGTTGGGCCCTATCGAACTCTATTTCAGTTTAATCAAGGCTGAGTTGAGCCCAATCTTTTCTTCTCTATTTATTTTAGTAAAAATGGCGTGTAGTAGCCACTAATTAAGGATGTCTTTAATTTTTATCCACTAATTATAACGCTCAGCAAAATAGCCACTACTATAGGAAAAAGACTGTTTTACCCTTCCTTTATATACCAAAAGGCCCAAAATCCTTGTTTTTTCATTCAGAAGAGGGAAATTTGAGAGAGGGGCAAGTTCGCGTGTTCTCTGCTACTGTATCATCCTCGCATGCAGACGAGCTTCAGTTAATCTTTCTCCTTCTTCATCTTCTCTGAATCGATCGATCTAACTGGTAATTTTTGAACATGTTATCCTTAACTTTTGAACTTAAAACTCAAAGTTAAGGACATACAGTCCTTAAGTTTTAAACTTGAAACTATAAGTTAAGGACTTCCTGTCCTTAACTTTTAATCTTTGAAATCAAAGTTAAGGACAGGAGTCCTTAAGTTTTCAACTTTGAACTATAAGTTAAGGACTTCCTGTCCATAACTTTTTAACCAGCAAGTCAAACTTAAGGACTGTTGTCCTTAACTTTTGAACTTAAAACTCAAATTTAAGGACAGACAGTCCTTAAGTTTTAAACTTGAAACTATAAGTTAAGGACTTCCTGTCCTTAACTTTTAATCTTTGAAATCAAAGTTAAGGACAAGAGACCTTAAGTTTTCAACTTTGAACTATAAGTTAAGGACTTCCTGTCTATAACTTTTTAACCAGCANACTTCCTGTCTATAACTTTTTAACCATCAAGTCAAACTTAAGGACTGTTGTCCTTAACTTTTGAACTTAAAACTCAAAGTTAAGGACAAACAGTCCTTAAGTTTTAAACTTGAAACTATAAGTTAAGGACTTCCTGTCCTTAACTTTTAAACTTCCTGTCCTTAACTTTTAATCTTTAAAATCAAAGTTAAGGACAAGAGACCTTAAGTTTTCAACTTTGAACTATAAGTTAAGGACTTCCTGTCCATACTTTTTAACCATCAAGTCAAACTTAAGGACTGTTGTCCTTAACTTTTGAACTTAAAACTCAAAGTTAAGGACAGACAGTCCTTAAGTTTTAAACTTGAAACTATAAGTTAAGGACTTCCTGTCCTTAACTTTTAATCTTTGAAATCAAAGTTAAGGACAGGAGTCCTTAAGTTTTCAACTTTGAACTATAAGTTAAGGACTTCCTGTCCATAACTTTTTAACCAGAAAGTCAAACTTAAGTTCTGCGTTGCTGCTGCGCTGCTGCTGCTCGTTAATGTTAGCGTAGGTATAAGTTATAGCAGAAGGGTATTTTCGTCCAGTCAGCTATAAGTTTGTTAAACCAGTGGCTAAAGACTAAAGACATTTAAAACACTGACTTTAAAATAAAGACAGGTGCTGTTAGTGGCTATTTGTGCCATCGCCCTTCATTTTCACATATTGGGCAACACCTTTTCGGGATTTATCATTTACTCATATAGTACTATATTTGAGAGTAAGTAAATTTGAAGAAAGTTAAATTTAAACTTGTTTTATGCTCCTAATTAAGCAAAGTATACTAGAATATGAATTAAATAAATAATAATTTAATTATAACATAAGAATAAATTTGAGAAAATAAATAAATTCATACTAGATTAATTGATCATTAGATATATAAGAATTATGTAAAGTTGAATGATGTTAATTAAATATATAATATTAAGTATAAGTTATAAAGTAAAAAAAAAAACAAATGAACAATGAAATCGAAATAATATAAATTAAGAAGTACAAAAGTTATAATTTTATAAGCGAAGAATTTAACAAGAGGAAATATTTAACATCATTGAAAAGAAAATTTATGATGAATTTTATTTTTGATATATTATTTTAACGTGTAATCAAACCTTCAAAATCACACAAATTTGAAATAGTCAATACACTAATCTAACTGTGATTAGTTTACATGAATTATTATTTCAGATTAAGACATAAATTTGTATGCATTTAAATTAAATATAGAACAATATATTAAACTTTTAGAGGTAAAAAAGTAAATAAACAACAAAATAAAAAAGTTTGTACAAAGTTGAACCCCACTAATAATTTGAACTCTTGAATTAGATGTTTTAAATAATACTATTCAGGTCATCTATAAAGTGCCCTTGAGTTACATTATTAAATTATATTGTTAGCAACAATATTACTATTTTTTTTCAACCATAAAGTGCCTTTATGGCTTAAAAATGTTTTGCTGATTGAAATTTCCCAATTTTATGCAAAATTAAGGGGGGAGGACTTCCCTCTCCTTTTTTCGTTTTCTGTCGAATCCTTCCCCCTCTTTTGTCCCAAACCCTTCCCCAATTCCACCAGATGCTTCAGCCAAAGCACCGAAGTATGAGGTCAGAATGATCCTCCGGCCTTCCCTCAATCAAAAATTAGGGCTTGAAATGGTAAGCTTCTTCCCCTCTTGTTTCAAGGTTATGGTTTAATTTAATTTTCATGTAAATTTATAAAAAATTTGTTAGATTTGCTACACTTTGTGTACCAATGGATCCTTATACTTCTGCATTCCAATGATTTGTCACTGGCGGAATAACTTCATGATTTACTATCAAATCCGAGAATTTTCCAGTATAAATAGAAAATACAATTACCAGAATATATTATTTGCTATCTATGTATCAGCTTAAAAGGTACTGAAATAATTGTAGGTTGTGGCTCAATTGATGTGGAGGATTTCGAGGAAATTTATCTGCACTTCCCATAAGCATTGTCTCATTGTTTGATTTTCTAACTTATTAGGTTTATCTTGGTTGAGCGTTCCTAACTACATACCTCTTGACATGTTTCTTCCTAAACTTTTTCAAGCACTTCGATGATTAAATTTCTGAAGTTGAAACACCTTTTGATTTGGAATTTTTCTATTAGACTATACTTTGTTTGCTCTAAGTTGTAAATTATTTATCTAGGGACATGTATGTATCTAAATTATAGGTGTTGTATGTTTTAGCAAATCTCAGCTTAACAGAACTTTATTGTTATAGCACTAGAATGAAAAGCCTTTCATTCCTTGTTTAGGTGATTTACTTTGCATTGTTGAAGTCTTCTTCTTACTTATTCGTTAATTTTTTTCTTTTTCATCGAACAGATTAGCAATTTGTTAAATCTTATGTGCAGGGGTGAGGGCCTAATATTGAGGTTAGTCTCTTAATGTAACTTCAATTAAATGACCTTTTATCTTTAGAATTTTTGTGTGTTTGTCCTATAAGCTCGTTGAAGATAAATATCATTTTCAGTAATCCTGTATGACTTGGGATATGTTTGAGACAATAATAATTTTATATAACACGAAAACTTTGGCCTAGGCATCTTTTGCTTCTCTTTTGGATTGACAACTTAATATCAGCTATGCCATATACAATTTTGTTCTTTTCTAGGGGGATGGGGTGGGTGGAGTGGGGTGAAAAATAGTTAAGCTAAACTAGCATGTTGTCTACAGGGGCTAAAGTTGAATTTTTTCAACAAACGCGTCAAAGACGTACCATGGCTATTGTAGAAACTAGAACACACGTGTTGCCACTGAAATTTTATATGCACCCATTTGGGATCCTGGACTTCATTGTGTTAGTTCTAGAGGCTATTTCTTTTGGTATTCACTGGGTAGAAAGAGATGGTTTGGGAACACCTTTGGACTGTGTACCTATCTCCGTTTTCCCTTATATAATTGAAGTTGGATGCATATTAAAATGATGGGACATGCTGATGTTCAGAAAAAGTTATGGTTTTTTCTTGTTGAGGAGTTAAACTGGTAGAATTAACTATCAGACATATGTGCTAATGTGACCTTTCTACATTTGAAATTTTTACTTGAATAAGTGGATTTGATATTTCCTAACTGGCTATGGATACATTTTTCTAATGAAGAGGTGATTTTCTCTACTATAATTGCCTTCTGTCCGCTTAATCTTTTCTTTTATAAATAATATTTAGCATATTTTCATCTTAAACTCTTAAATGATATTCACTAATCCTTTTATCTTAAGAATGGCGCCTACACATGGTACTATTCTGTTGAAAAGTCTTAGAGTAGCTTGTGTATATATGGTAGCTCTTTCCATATGCATCACTAGTACATGTATTCTTATGTCTAGATTAATTTTTTTTGTCATTAACAAATAAGGAGATTGTATATTTACTTTTATTAGAGATGAGAACATGAAAATAGTTATAAAATCTTTTTATATTAGAATTTGTTAATGGTGAACTCTTAATTACTCCACATAGGGACATGCAAGGGTATCAACATTTTGTATTAGTGCTACATTTGAACTTCAGTTTTTCCTTACTCTACCATGCATCTTCTTCAGCAAATCTATTGTTGCATCCCAGTGAGACTGTTAGATTGTTAACTCATCTGCTTTGTATTTTGTATTCCCCTACTGTTGTTAACGTTATCCTACTTTCCCGTACTTCATTAAATTGCTGAACAGAGCAGCATCTAGAATTCAATTGGATGCAGCATTATGCTAATGAGGAGCTATTTTCTCTAACTTCAATCAAGGTATGTTCCCACTTCACAATGCTTACTCTATTGCTTCATAACAAATGCAACATGTATTCAGATAGAGTATTTTTTCTTGAATTTGGTTCCTCTAGAAACTTCAACCATTGCTCTAGGGTATTTTTCAGTTCTTTTGTGTAAAAGATAATACAAGTTGTATGTCATGGTTACAAAATGTATGGTCTGATTAGTTCTTAAAAATTTCCTCTCTAGTATTTCATGTCACAAATTTTGATACTATTGGAAATGTAACTAGTTATTTTGAAAAATATGATAAATTTAAAATGGAGCAAATTTTATATGATTACAATATAATGATGCTTGCTTGTTTCCCAATTGAGAATTTGTGTCTCCGTATTTTTTGATTGGTAAAGAGGATGTTTTTGGATTATAGATATGCCAATTCTCTTTTTGTTGTTGTTTAAGTATTATCGCCATTGTGAAATTTTGACATATCTCAGTTTCAACTAAATGGAGGTTCTTTTATGTAAGAGCAACATCTTATCTTTAAAATAATTAGATGCTCTTGTAATGTTACCAATTTCAAAAAAATAATTAGGTGTTCTTGTTGTCAGCAAGCTTAGATTAGTAATACCAATATATAAGCACTAAGTAAACTCATTAAGTAGTCTTGTTAGCATATGTCAGACTAATGCTAATATTTGATGGTTACATGAAACTATGTTAGTCCAGTCTTAAGATCTTGTTGAATTTCTTACCAACATCCAGTTTCCATTGTATGTGCTACCTTTTTCTTCTACATTTGATTGTTTTGATAAATTATAATTGGATTACTATTAGAATTTTCTAATTTCTTTCTCTCTTTTGATCCTTTGTATTTTTTTTTAATATAGGAAGGATAAAGTTCTCCAACAACAGGAAACAAACTCAACTAAGGAGTTTGAAGGCAAAGGAATAGTTTGGAGACATTTTATGTTATTTTTGGGTCATGTATATATTCAAAGAAAATGTATTGTAATGTATATTAGAATACCTTATGTTGTTTGACTTTTTAGCAATGAAAAGTTCTTATATATTTCTATTTCTTGTAATTGCCTTATTGACTACAAACTAACTGTATTTTATAACAACTGTAATTGTCATTAATCATGATAATTTATAGTGACAATTTTATTTTGTCACTAAAAGTGATATTTTTAGTAATGAAATGATTGTGTTAGCTACAAAATTGTAAGCCAATTTTATTAAAGCAAATTTGTCACTAATTTTTATATTTAGGGACGAAATACTTTTTTGTATATAATATGTAGTTTTTAGTGACAAAATTACATTTGTTCAACTACGAAATACATATAACTTTAGAGACGAATAATGCTGTCACTAATTAAACTAAATAGTTAGTGACAAGGTAGTTTCGTTGCTATTAATGACCTCTTTAGTGACCAAAACGTACTATCAACTACAAATTTTTTGTACTTTTTTTGACAAATAAGTTCGTCACAAATACTATACATTTGGGGATGAAAATCAATTTCGTAGTTAATATAACTTTATTTAGTGACAAATCGCTAAATTATCTTTGTATACCTTTAGTGACACGCTTTTAAGGACGAATGATTGACGAATTTTTTTCGGCCATGCCGCCCGAAAGAGATATTGATTTTGGCATTGATCTGTTGCCGGGATTTAGCCCATTTCTATTCTTCCTTACCGTATGGCTCCTCCTGAGTTGAAGGAGCAGTTACAGAAATTGCTTGATAAGGGTTTTATTCGGCCCAGTGTGTCACCGTGGGGGTGCTCCTGTCTTGTTTGTGAAGAAGAAGGATAGTTCTATGCGTATGTGCATTGATTACCGTTAGTTGTACAAAGTTACAGTGAAGAACCGGTATCCTTTGCCTCGTATTGATGACCTATTTGATCAGTTACAGGGTGCTCTTGTGTTTTCTAAGATTGACTTGCGTTCAGGTTATCATTAGTTGAAGATTCGGGAGCCTGATATCCCGAAAACTGCTTTCCGAACTCGGTATGGTCATTAGGAGTTCCTTGTTATGTCATTTGGGCTGACCAATGCCCCATCAGCATTTATGCATTTGATGCACAATGTATTCCGGCCATAATTTGACTCGTTCGTCATTGTCTTTATTGATGACATTCTGGTATACTCCCGGAGTAGGGAAGATCATGAGCAGCACCTGAGGACAGTGCCTCAGACCTTGAGAGAAAAGAAATTATATGCAAAGTTCTCGAAATGTGAGTTCTAGTTGGATTCTGTGGCATTCTTGGGTCATGTGGTATCGAGTGAAGAGATCAAGCTGGATCCGAAGAAAGTGGAAGACGTGCAGAGTTGTCCTAGACCATCCTCAGCTACAGAGATCCGTAGTTTTCTTGGCTTGGCGGGTTATTACTGTCGGTTTGTTGAGGGATTTTCGTCTATTGCAACACCTATAACCAGGCTGACCCAGAAGGGTGCTCCGTTTAGGTGGACATAGGAGTGTGAGGAGAGCTTTCAGAAGGTCAAGACAGCTTTGACTACAACCCCAGTATTGATATTGCCTACAGGTTCGGGGTCTTATACTGTCTATTGTGATGCCTCGAGGATTGGCCTTGGAGCGGTATTGATGCAGGTTGGTAGGGTGATTGCCTACACATCCAGACAGCTGAAGGTGCATGAGAAGAATTACCCTGTCCATGATCTCGAGTTAGATACTATTGTTCACGCCTTGAAGATCTGGCGTCATTATTTGTACGGTGTTCCTTATGAGATCTACACTGATCACCGGAGTTTGCAGCATCTGTTCAGGCAAAAGGACCTTAATTTGCGTCTGAGGAGGTGGTTAGAGTTGCTGAAGGACTATGATATCACTATCGTGTATCACTTGGGCAAGGCCACTATGGTGGATGATGCTTTGAGTCGCCAAGCGGAGAGTTTGGGGATTTTAGCTTATCTACCAGTAGCGGAGAGGCCTATGGCGATGGATGTTCAAGCCTTAGCCAGCCAGTTTGTGAGATTGGATCTTTCGGAGCCCAGTCAGGTCCTTGCTTGTGTGGTTTCTCGGTATTCCTAGTTTGATCATATCCGGGAGCGTCAGTATGATGACCCTCATTTGCTTGTCCTCAAGGACAAGGTTCTACATGGCGACGCCAGAGATGTGAACATTGGTGATGATGGGGTATTAAGGATGCATGGTCGGATATGTGTGCCCAATATTGATGGGCTTCGGGAGTTGATTCTAGAGGAGGCCCACAGTTCGCCGTATTCCATCCATCCGGGTGCCGCGAAGATGTACCAGGATTTGAGGCAGCACTATTGGTGGAGGAGAATGAAGAAGGATATAGTTGGGTTTGTAGCTCGGTGCCTCAATTGTCAGCAGGTAAAGTATGAGCACTAGAGACCGGGTGGCTCGCTTCAGCAGATAGAGATTCCGGAGTGGAAGACTCCCACGGACTTTGAGGAAGTTCGATGCCATTTGGGTGATTGTGGATCGGCTGACCAGTTCGCACACTTCATTCCTGTGTGTACCCACTTATTCTTCAGAGCGGTTGGCTAAGACTTATATCCGGGAGGTTGTTCGTCTGCATGGTATTCCAGTTTCCATCATTTCAAATAGAGGTACTCAGTTCACATCATGGTTCTGGAGGGCCGTACAACATGAGTTGGGTACTCGGGTGGAGTTGAGCACAACATTCCACCCCCAGACGGATGGACAGTCCGAGCGCACTATTGAGATTCTTGAGGATATGCTCCGTGCGGGTGTGATGGAGTTTGGAGGTTCTAGGGGTCAGTTCTTGCCACTGGCGGAGTTTGCCTACAACAACAGTTATCAGTCCAGCATTCAGATGGCACCGTATGAGGCTCTGTATGGTAGGCGGTGTAGATCCCCGGTGGGTTGGTTTGAGCCGGGCGAGGCTAGATTATTGGGCACAGACTTGGTTCAGGACGCTTTGGAGAAAGTTAAGGTGATTCAGGATAGACTCCGCACAGCCCAGTCCAGACAGAAGAGTTATGCGGACCGGAAGGTTTGCGATGTTTCATTTATAGTTGGAGAGCAAGTCTTGCTTTGGGTTTCGCCTATGAAAGCCGTTATGAGATTTTGGAAGAAGGGGAAATTGAGTCCGAGGTTTATTGGTCCTTTTGAGGTATTCCGACGTGTCGGGGAGGTTGCTTATGAGCTTGCCTTACCTCCCAGCTTGGCAGGAGTTTATCCGATATTTCATGTTTCGATGCTCCAGAGGTATCACGGTGATCAGTTGCACGTGTTGTATTTCAGTTGAGTCCAGTTGGACAAGGATCTATCTTATGATGAGGAGCCAGTGGCTATATTGGACAGGCAGGTTCGAATGCTGAGGTCAAAGAGCATTGCATCAGTAAAGGTTCAGTGGCGGGGTCAGCCATTTGAGGAGGCGACTTGGGAGATCGAGCAGGATATGCGCAGCCGTTACCCTTATCTTTTCATCACTTCAGGTATGTCTCTATGCTTGTTCGAGGACGAACGAATGTTTTACGAGGGGGAGGATGTAATGACCCAGCCGGTCATTTTAAGAATTTACGCCCCGATCCCTTATTAACTATTTTTCCCGTGTTTATTCCTGCTATTGTGATTTGCCGGGAAGATTCATTTTGAGTTTCAGAGTGTTTTGGGACACTTAGTCCCTAAATGAGAGCTTAAGCTTTAGAATTTGGACCGTAGTCGGAACGGTGTGAAGACGGACTCGAAATGGAATTCCGTCAATCCCGTTAGCTCTGTTTGATGATTTCGGACTTAGGGGCGTGTCCAGATTGTGTTTTGGAGGTCCGTAGCTTATTTAGGCTTGAAATGACGAAAGTTGAATTTTTGAAGTTTCCGGATCGATAGTGAAATTTTGATATCAGGGTCGGAATCCGATATCGAAAGTTGGGATAGCTCCGTAGTGTTGAATGTGACTTGTGTGTAAAATTTGGGGTCAATTGGACATGGTTTGGTTTGTTTCGGCATCGGTTGTAGAATTCTTGAGATTTCAAGTTCATTATGCTTGGATTGGAGGGTGATTCATGGTTTTAGCGTTGTTTGATGTGATTTGAGGGTTGGACTAAGTTTGTATGATGTTTTAGGATTGGTTGGCATGTTTGGTTGTGGTCCCGGGGGCCTCGGATGAGTTTCGGATGCTTAACGAAAGTTGAATTGGACTTAGGCAATTTTCTCAATTGCTGAACCTGTTGGTTTCGCCCCTGCGGAGCTTGGACCGTAGGTGCGGCGCCGCAGAAGCGGGTTGGTGACCGCAGAAGCAATCTGAGGCTTGGAGATCAATGGTCGCAGATGCGGCCCAAGGACCGCAGAAGCGGAACCACATCTGCGAGTAAAGGGGCGCAGGTGCGGAATTTGGCCGTTCAATGAAATTCCGCAGGTGCGGAGTAGGAACCGCAGGAGCGGGACCGCAGGTGTGGTAGAACCCTCGCAGAAGCGGAAATCGCTAGGCAGAAATATGAAATTCGAGGGTTTGAAGTTCATAACATCAAATTCGATTTTGAGCTTGGGAGAAGGCGATTTTGAGGTTTTTTAAAAGAAAATCAGTGGGTAATGATTCCTAACTCCTTTTTGATTATATCCCATTAATCTAAGCTTAATTTCATCATTTCATTTCGGATGTGGGCTGGAAATTTGGGAAAATTTGAGAAAAGTTCTTAGGCCGAATTTTGGGATTTTGATCGAGATTTCGGTATCGGATTTGAGTGATTTTGGTATGGTTAGACTCGTGAGTGAATGGGTGTTCATAATCCATAACTTTTTTCCGATTCCGAGACGTGGGCCCGGGGAGGATTTTTGGGCGTTTTCCTATTTTCTTGCCTTAGCTTCAATTCCTTTAGCTTAATTCGTTGTTGGTAGTTATATTTACATTATGAAATTGATTTGATTAGATTTGGGCCACTCGGAGTTGGATACTCGTGGCAAGAGCGTGATTTCAGATTGATTTGAGCTTGATTCGATGTAAGTGGCTTGCCTAACCTTGTGTGGGGGACCCCCTCTTAGGATTTTTGTACTGTTGTTATATGAATGCCGTGTACGTGAGGTGACGAGAACGTACACGTGCTAATTGTTGAAAAACCTCA